GTTTGTTAAACACGCGATGAGAGAGTGAGAATGAGTCGACCTAATCAGCAGATGCTTCAGTAGAACTACTCTTAGCGAATCCCCTATTAGCTATGAACCCCTTTTGTTCATTAACGTTTCCGGTCCGACGTTGGACAAGAGAGGTAGACCACGTGACTACCCAACCCCTCCTATTAAACATTTCTTACTACCTAATATTGTCATATCCGCCCATTGTATGAGCTAATACGGGTCCTACCGTATCTTGTTACAGAAGGGACCTGAAAGAGGTCACCCAGTCATTAATGGTCCCAGTGTGACTACGTGATAAGGGTGTGGGTAATGTTACGGGGTAAGATCGTTACATGACACTGGCATGAGCCCGCATCAATGCGTTTACTACCTATACAGATAAAACATAAGAACGTAACTGTAAGAGGTATTATTGTTCAGTGACTGCTGCACGCTGGTTGGTGTATACCATTTCATCAGCCAATAGAGCGGACGGTGAATGATAATAAATGCGCGCGACGGGTGCTGTGTAATGAGTTACAGCTCCTGTTTTTGCTTTTATCTAACGCCAACTCATCCACGTTCATCGTGCCTATCTAAATGAAGACTGAGTAGTTGTATCGAGATAATTGGCTGTATTAGGGGCATCCCTCGTTTTTACACTTGGTGGACGAGTCCGCCAGTCTTCTAGCTTTCTCTACATGTAAGTGAAGTTACGAGGCACCTGCCTATACTATTGTCAGTGTAGATCGAATTATACCGTGTGAAGCCTAAGCGCCGGTGGCCCGTTACAAGCTTCCTCCGGTTATTCTAGTCGTCGACACTGATCACCGTATTTGACGACGCATTTTTTCTCACTCTTTCCAACCACACTTATGTCGCGTGATGTCACTTCATTCATCATATATAGATTCTCGTGTCAGGTTCGATCATGCAGCGCATACTCTGGGCTCCCGTTGACCCACGAGTGCCGGTTCATACTCATCAAGACTTCGTGCCACGATGGATGACCCTACAATCTGCATCGATTCTGCATTTGAAACAGTGCGAGTGCTATACACCGTATCGTATAAGCTGAAGGCTACTCGAGACCTGGACAGGAATGTGCTGAGCTACCATCTATTGCCCTTTGTTTTTAGTTTACTGCTCAGTTAAAAAGACGTCGCTGTAGACGGATATCGAGGTTGTCGGCGAGTTGAGTATGGCGCGCACTCCCTCTAGAACTAACTCTTTAGGCCGCGATTGAGACAGTCGTCGCTTAATTTTGCACGCCGCGCCACTGCTTCGTCATTGTTTTGCTTACTTCCATCGTTTCCAAGCGGCAAGAAGGTTCTTTATGTCGCCTGCTTAATGTGCGTCGAATCCTACTGATGTACGGGCACGTTGCGTCCGCACGAATCACAGTGCAAGAGAGCTACACTAAACATAGCATACACTTGTGCACCCGATATTCACGTTCGGTATGGGTAGAAGACATCGCTTTGTAAAAGACAAATATAATATGCTCGGGGAATAGGAAGAAGGGCGCAAGGAGAACAAATCGAGGTCAATAAATTTTTAAGAACAATCTATGAAGACCTAGAATGTACGAAGATATTCTAAAAACAGACAAAGATACCAAAAGCGGTCTAGAACGTCGGAAAAAAGATAAAAGCAATTAACAAAGAGGGGCAGAAATCGGTTTGTGTATAAAACTAGATCGATTGCTAAAAAAAGGATCTGCACGATTTATATGTAATTGCGTCATTTCGAATAAGGGTTGTATTCGTCATCATACATACATTTATGTATTTTGCGAGCAATGTGTACAAGAACCATCTACGCACGATTCCGTTCGTGTCCTTCTTGATTGGTGGAAAGTAGACTGACACAATCGACCGATATCAGCCCATTGCACGTGTCATCGTCCGTTTACTGAATATTGCATCCGGATGTAATTTGTAGGACTTTTACTAACTATTACGTACCAAAATGATGTAGCGTTGACATTGTTCAATTGCCAATGCCTCATAGCGACTACCCCGCTCCGTTTACTCCGACGTACTTCAACTGCTACCAGATAGGTAGGTCGCGAGATCGGTAGAGCTTAAGAATACTATCGATACGAAGAGCTTACTCCATACTCTTGTAGCTTGCTTTGCGACTTCACGGCATCGTCGCGGATACGTCTTCTGTACTTGGCCTGCAGTTTGCGTTTCTCTTCTTTCGTACTAGCACCTCTGACATCATCACGTGACCCTTGATGAGGAAGGCGGATTTCCTGACGACACAAGTTTCTTCTTCCGACAGATCCAATCCGTCATGGCTTGCGTGCGTAAACAAGCTCACCTTGCCCACACGCCTCTCGTAGTTACCGAGTCGATAACGTGCATCACTTGCGAATGCTTCCACCTCAGCACGAAACCGCGTACGCTTATTGCTACTTGACCGCATTCACCCTGTCTTCGGTCGTGCATGTTTCACCGTAGAGACCAGATGTAACGTCAATTTGTAGCTCCATAGCACGTAGTTAGACCTTTGCAGGCCTCGACTTATGATGTTGTTTGGTTGAATCGTCGAGCAATAAGTGGTTTTGATTGAGTGAACGTATGCACCATCTACCCTACTTCTCCTGCTTCGAATCGTGTCCCAATCTGTTCAACATCTCCAGCTGTCAGTAAATATGTGGCCGTGAGACTCGAACCTACAACAGAGGTTTGACAGAGTCAATTCTAGCCACGTTTGCCACCAGGTGGCATCTTACTCGCATACGTGTCCCATCCATTTTGATATGCCAATCCACATCCGCGTAACATACAGCAGGTGGATTTCGCGAACACACGCACGCACGTGTCATCGCACCCACCAACCACGGACGCCTCATCGCGCACGCAGCGTACCTGTGACGTGCTGTCCCGTCTGCTATACGATTGGAATGCTCAGGACTTGAATCTGTCACACGTCATATGTCGATGGTGCAGGCCTTTGGCCACGCATCCTTTGTCCGTAGGAATCTTCTTCGCAACTCGAGGACAAGGCAATAGCATTCTGACGGGGACAAACCAGCTACACTTATAAGTAAGCAAGCGCTGACTGCTGTAGTCAGCACGCGCTTCCAAGTAATGTACATTCGATGGCAACGGCTGTTAGTCGGCGTATTCTAGAGCGTATGAGCTCAGTGAACGTATGAGCTCAGTGAACGGGAGCATGGGCTCGCGTTCCTGGTACGGAAACGACCCAGAACGAATCGACGAGACTTTACCGAGATGATCCCTATGTGCACAATGCATTCGAAACTCAAACAGAGCAGTCTCGTAAAGGATAATGATCTTGTGATTGACGCGAGGTCTGTAGACATGACGCCTTCTCAATGTTACGCCATGTCTTTTCATCTCCTTGCATTGGTTCCTGAGACCCTCGATTCGCGTAGCTTGCATTCAGATGTTGTCCATGAGGGGCCACTCTAGGGGGATAGTCGTTCTTTGCAGTATCCCTTCTCGGACCTACTTGAATGTGTTGACATGCCCTCTTTGTGATGCGTGGTGACGTGCTATCGGTAATGCTACGAGATTGTCTTCGAGGCGGCTTCATTGCAATCTCCGTAGCATAACCGTTGGTGTGTTGATGATACCGAGTAGAATGCGGCTACTTTGAGGCATTGCAACTGTCCTAGACACATGAGAGACGTGAAGGAATGAAGCATGAGAAGGACAACCAATACAGGTGTCCGATAGATGCAGCACGTTGGGCACCTGCCACGACGATCCAAAAGGCTACGTATAACCGAATACATTCACTACGAAGGCAAGCGCATTGTCTGCGGCGGGCGCGTCGTTGTCGTCGGCCGGATGAAAGCGTTTGCCCGAATACCGTTGGGAACACAATGTCATCGTCGGTGTTGCTAAGTTATGCTAGTTTAGCCAACCACCCGGGACGAAGGCGGTCGCATCTTCGCACAGCTCAGCACAAAGCGCCAACACTTCAGTCGATGAAGAAGCGCTTCCCGCCACTTGGCACGCATAAGACTGTAATTTCGACCACATTGAGCAATTTACAACGCACCACGCGTATGCAAATTCGGGTGCACAAAGGGCACAGTAGTATCGAAAGTGCGTTAAAAATATTGTGGTGCACGGTTGAGTACCAGGAAGGTCACACTTTTGCGGACAGTAGCAGGGCTATCGGCGTGTTTTGTAGCACGCCGACAGTTGGGGTCTTCTGCAATGTTTGTGTTTGCCGAAGATGGCTCTAGCCTCTACCAGGAGCTTCAAAATAAACAACAGGAAGTTATGAGGCTTGACTATGCGTGCTACGCCAACTGACTGAGAATCCATTTTCACTCTACCTCGCGAGGATAAGTGAGAATGTGAACGAGAGGTCCATAGAAGAACGTCCCATGTAACGTTGTTGATAGATTGATGCTGATGCATGAAAACTTGAAGAAGTTGCCGTCCATAAAAAATCATGACAAGACCGCCCCGCACGAAAGCAAAGCACAAATAGTGGTGCTATGCGAGCGCGTCGGAATGGTGGGATGCAGCGCGAATGGAGCTTGTTAGTTACCCTTCTACCAAACCCGATCACATTATCTACATAAGAGCCGAGATAAATCCCTTGTCCGACTCTCGCACGATTTCTTTGTTCTACGGCTCGTCACCACTCTTTTCGAGGATTCATGACCCAGACGAAAACAACTTCTCTGGCTCTGGACACCTGAGTGACGATCAGGCAATTGTAGGAGAAGCAGTTCTACTGGCGGTATCACGTGCACAACAGCGCGTGAAAGTGAGCAATACGCGAATGACCGGACAGCGAGTGAATAAGTTGACGTTTTGTCGTCGAGCACGTATCCTCTCGACAAGCACATACCCTATCGGCAAGTACTTGTCCGTTCGTGTTTACATCATTGACAAATGGCACGCCCGTCAATGACAACACTTGAGCTCAAATTACGAGCTGCAAAAGCGTTGATGTCAATTTAGCGCTTGCGCGTTTATACCCTACTCGTCAATACTACGTGTGCTTCATCATCATTCTCCTACAACATACTTTTGCCTCGTGTGGACGACAGACTGGCGCGTTTTGCGCAACGCCTGCACTAGACTGGGGAGACGCGGGTAGTTTGCCTGAGCAGTAGAATTCGTGGGAGGCGCGTCTTTGGGCATAGCAGGCAGCACCCGTGGAGTTTCGTAGGCCCCGTACGCGGGACAAGCTAGAGCAGCAGAAACCGGTGCAGGGCTCTCCCGGTCTAGATGGGCAACACAGTAGAGCTTGGACTTGCGGCTACGCATACAACCCGTGACGTGGCAGCGATGCCCGCCACCATGAGCCCAGCAAAAGTCGCTGCGGCTCTGAGCGCCCTTGGCACAATCCACATGTTGGCAGCGACGCCCACCGCCGTGGCCACGGCACAAGCCTCGGCTGACTGGAATCTTATTGCAGCTTACGACCCGGCAGCGTTTGCTGCAGCCACTCCGTCGACGCGAAGGCGGGGGCGTCAAAGACCCTTGCGAACGGTCGTGCACCGACCCATTGTCAGTGGCAAAGCTGTCCGAGTGGTAGACGGGGCTGTTTGTCGGCAGGTTCGTAGAGGCCGTGCTCGACGCCTGCTTTGTCGAGGTCGTTTCGTAGCGCGAGTTGGCGCGAACGTACTGGGACAAGCTCGATATGCGCGGGGTCTGTTGTGTCTGAAGGTGCGACGACTGCTCGATCGGGAGCGAAAAGCGACTGCGCAAATCGTCGTCGGAGACCTCCATTTCGGCCGGGCGTGCACACGTGAACAGCTGCGAGCTTTTTTGCTGGTGCGGCGGAGGCGCGGCTATAGCTGGAAAGAGCTGCTCCAGGTGCTTAACTACGTCGTGACTGCGTGGTAGCACGATGGACGTGGAGCGGTCGCCGCCAAGCCCGATGGAAACCGCGACTGTCTCGTTGTGCGGCGGGTCCAGGGGAGCGTAGTAGCGTGGCGAGCTGGTGTGCATCATCATGAAGTCTTCCCTTGAGCTCTGGACAGCGCGATGCGAAATGACTCAACAGTTGTCGAGATGTGTCGTCGCACGACGGGGCGAGTGGGAAAGTGTTTGCGAAAACGCCACGCAGTGCGACGTCGAGACGGATAACTGTAGGGGCGGCATCCCTTCCCTGAGACGGGAGATGGTCCCGGTTTTTTGAGACGAGGGTGTCCACGGCTTCGGCCCTATCCTTAATCGAGGGAGCATGAGGTGGCGCCAAGCATCGGAAGACGGACGGTCCATCATGACAGAAACTGCCTCTAAGAAAGACGGAGACTGTGCTTGCGACCACGTGTGCCCAGCACCCAGCTCTTGGTTCAAAAGCCGTCAAGTGCGCGTCCCTTATGAACAACACCAAGCGAAAGCTCCCACGTGTACTACTGTGTGAGACGCTTCTGACGCTGTGAGTGAGTGACTATCCTTTTGTTTACGTATGTGCAGAAATCGCGGGTGTATTACGCCGGATCAGGTCGAGCGAACCAAAAATTGGACGTCAGGACTCCTGGTCCCATTGCAGAAAATGAAACTGTCGCACGGCCGTATTGGCAAAGACAAGAGCTGGTTGAACTTCAAACAGGAAAGAGCGCGAATTCTTCCGTAGGATGAGCCGTTAATTTCGATGCCTGACTCAACAGATTAATCCCACCGCTTTGAGGATTAAATGCGCCGGATTGGTTAGCGATCGCCTGTGTCTGACGTATGCTGCATACGTGTACAAGACATGTGACCTCAACCCAGGTCGCACGAAGGCTGCCCGGGAGGCGTACAAGCTCAAGGCCAAGAAGCTTTCGTGTCAATGACGTGAACAAATCATGTGTCGACGACTTGCATCATTTACTTTCGAAAGATTTGTGACCGCGAAGAACGATACTGTCCACGTTCGCAAGAACATGTGGACAGGCCAAAGTCTTGTTGAAAGACAGTACAGCATGTCTCCAAAGCATCCGCACTCATCGCGACCCGCCGAGGACGGGTGTCGTCGATACAAATCTTCTCGATGTGGCTGCAAGAGACTCAGCTGGTGCAGACAGACTCTGCATACTTGGAGGTACGTGACTGTCACCAATATGTTCGTGCACCGTGCCTCCGCTTACTAAATCCGAGATCAATTCTATGCCTGTCTCAAACCGGATGACGTTCGGTCGAGAAATGTCACGAGGAGCATAAACAGGGATAATGTTACGATCTGCAACTTGCAAACCGTCCTATAAGACGCCATCGACAACCGACACGTGGTCATAACGAGCTCCTTGTCGATTCCGTTTCTGCTCATCGCGAATTAGGACCGCAGCTTCTTGACAAAACAATGAGCAAATGTTACAGATCAACACGTACATATACATGCCGTTCTTCCGATGTTATTCCAGAGTGCCGTGTGGGTGCGCAGCAAAGGACCACCGCACGCTTCGTCACGGCAATATTTGCAACAACCATCCAATCAGCGCGCACTTTACGCTGATATGTGTCATTTTCGCTTTTTATCATGATGAAACTCACGCTCGCGGCTGCCGCAAGTCATTAAAACTGTTTTAACGTGTGAATGGCTTTTTTTCAGCCATCGACTGATTGGTAACAGCGCCACAACAACACGTTCGCCGTCTACTAGTGCAATGACCGACAAGCAACTTCTGACGCTATCGTCCGCACGTCCTTCCGTTGATTCGCTTGACCACTTTGCAGCTCATGGCTGGGTCTGTGTTCGAAACCTTTTGTTGCCCTCCGAGTTGCGCGTTCTGCAGACGGAATGTAGTGCTTTGTACTCGGGTCAGTCCGCCGAGACCATAGCAGCCCAGGGATGTGTTTTGGACGTGCTGGCACAATGTCCGGTGCGTGGCTAGTGATGCGTATTCAATCGACAAACAACCGCACGCTTATGTAGTAGTACTGCTTATCGCTGTCATCCTACTATATTAGATACGTGAATCCGACAGGGCACGAGTCGACTCCACGTGCTACTTGAAAGCCCGAGCTCGAGCGACGAACCGTTTCGGCGAGGACGACGAGCGGGTTTTTGCTTCGTTGATGTTTGAGAAGCTGCCGACGATTGCGGGGCTTATGCTGGCAGCCCATAATGAGTGCGATGCGGCGACCTCCGTCTTTTTCTTCAATGAGCATTACGTCGTCAAGCCACCTAAGAGCCACGTCGAGTTTCGTTGGCATCGAGACGACGACGAGCAGCTTGCCATGTGCGTGCACCGAGATTCGATCCAGGTGTACGTGTCGGCGTGGTGTGCTCTGGATATTGTGACAAGAGTGAATGGTGCGCTGCAGTTTGTGTCACTAGAGATGTCGACGGAGACAACGAATGAAGGCACTAGTGCAGGTCGACAGCGCCAGGCGAGCGCTCCAGTTGATGTCGAAGCAGGGGACGTTTTGTTCTTCTTGTCAAATGTGTGGCACTACTCTTCAAGTAACGAGTCAGACAGTGCTCGCCGCGCGTTCTACGCGCAGTACTCGCGCGAAGTGATTACGTCCACTCCGAACGACGCGTCACCGTTAAGTTTCGCAATTCCGTGCAAAGCGGCGAGTTCCATGGCAGCAGTCAGTATGTCAGCTGGGGATAGCGGAAGCGTGAGGATCAAAACGCCTGAATAAGTTGCGCTGTGATTGACATCACGCATTGCGCTATAAGAACGGACGACACTGACCACCCGTCAATAATGCCAGAGCAAAGCCGATTCGCCCCCGTAATCAACAGTTCGAGCTGTAAACCTACGCAATGTCAATCGTTTATCCGAGCCGTGTAATTAACACTGCAGCCAACACCGTAGCCAACACTGTAACCAACACTGTAACCAACGCGTATCCTTCGAATACGACGTCTTGGGTTCAATCGCCATCTCGTGGACTTGTAAACCCGTCGATCTCGCAGCTTGTTGACGCAATCGATTCAGCTGCGCATTTGGCAAACAGGTTCACTGTCATTCGCAGAAGTGGTTGCAGAAGTTAGCACTGAGCCGATCCCTTTTCGAGTAGTCATGGAAAGGCAACTTTCATTCACATAAACACAACAATCATGGCAACATATCGAAAGGCATCACTACCGCGCCCGACACTAGGGAGTGTCCAGCATGAGCAGCATCTACCGCCAGGCTATACTTATTCGGTTGCTAGGTTTCCTTACTGCTGGCGCTCTAACTAACGTCATCTCTTACTCTTTTACGATATAAGCGTCATCGTGCTTCCCAGCTCGAGGTGTACTAAGCAAAGAATGCACCAACGAATGGACTGCATGGCCTACTGAAACTATATCTGAATATCGAAACAGGAATGGACTACGCACAGCGACGTCATGTCACGACGACAGCGCGGCAGTGATGACTATGGGCTAATGAGGAAGCTTCGATAATCAAGGCTTTCGACAAATGGAGTTGAAGCAAGCAATGGTACATGTAGAAATGAACGCCGCTACTCTGCGCCGCTTTACCGTACAAAGCTTTGTTCGGGCTCGAGAATCCATCAATTCACTCCTGTTATTTTATTGAGACGGCAATGGCGGTGGAAAGATCTCAAATTTGGATAGAACCGGATTTGATCTGCTGGGTCAATATGTAGAATCTTGATAAATACGGAGTGTACTGTGTTGTCCTGTAATCACTTCTTGCTCTTTCCCGGCAGGTCTATTGAAAGGAGTTTAGTCTTCGTAATCTTCCTGTGCTCGGCAAAAATGATTACCGAGTCCTCACTTAGTAGCATTGAAGCTGAGTCAATGTAAACATGATCTTTCTTGATAGTATATTTCAATATTACTTTTGCGAGTCAATATTGCTGGAATATCACCTTCAGATGTAATATTCAGCACCAATTCACAATTGGTTTAGAGGCTATGGTATCAACCAAATAAAGCACCAACCGCTGTAGACGCGCGCTACGATTTGTGCGAGAGATTCTACATGAGATTTTGTTGTCACATTTAGTGTAAGTCATACAAAGAACGATTAACAAAGGAGCTTACCTAAATCAAATATACACTCTTTTATCTGCGACGCAGTGATCCTAATGACATAAATGAGTGCAAAACAGCCATACCCAATCTTACATCGGCCCAACCATGGGTGGATGCCTTCTCTTCACCACCTCCTACTGCAGAAGGTGGGGTCGACGGGCAGGGATCGCCAAAGCCAGGGAGTCGCAGCCTCCGCGTCCGGAGGCGAATACCCGGGTCGCCAGCGCGGTGGCCGAATACGGGGCAACTGAAGCAGCGGACGCGGACACGGATTCGCCAGGACACACGGGCCTGTGGTGGAGTGGTGCTCGCAAATTCCTTGTGATCCCGACTCTTCACTGGCGCCCGGACGACCGACTAACGGAGGGGGTACCCCGATTCGGTGCTCTGTGTCTTCGTGCTCACCTTGTGTACCCGCCGGTGGGGCGGGTTGCGCTCTTCTTAATGGACGTGAGCTGAAGCTGAACTTGACCGTTGTAGGGATAGACGTTGATCGGGTGGAAATGCTTCACCCGGTCAAACGTAGGGGCGGATCGCGTGGAAATATTTCACTTGATCGCTTGTAACTTGGGCTCTCTCCCAGAGATGCCTTTGCCAAGGGCGATTCTTGATCCGCGAGCGTTCTGACCACTTGAGCCGTATCGCAGTCTTGAATATGAATCGTTAGGTTCCCTGCGTCTGATCGCAGTTGGGAGGGGGTTAGAACTGATGTTCCGCCTGGCCAAACAATCTAAGGGCGAAGCATGCAGAGACGTGTGTGACTCTCTATACAACGGGAGGCCAAAGTTCCTGCCCGGGAAAAGTCGACGCGTGCCTTTCGTTACAAATTCCATTATCTTTAATGTCAACCAACCAAATCCAAAACCTATGACTAGGCCTATCGCTTTGCTAGGTCAACTTTTGTGCACCGCCTGTCTATGAAATTCTCTTCTTGCCTCATGTGGTCCACAGCAGGCACTCGGTATTGGATCGCTCCATAGTGGATTGTGGTGTAGTGGATCGCGGTATGTGATACACACCGATCGACAGTACACACCTAAGATAGATCATGGTCGATTGGTTGCATCTTCGATCGGGCATCCAAGGCCGGATCGCCGTCACGTCCGAAATTTCGCATACTTGATTTTTGAACGATCCACTCTTCCAGCTTGCTTCCATATTCACCTATATCCCATTTCCATTAGCGATCCAGTACTCTCGTTGATGTTCACTCCTTGGATGATCCGGTTCTTGTACCTCGGTGATCCAAATCTTCGATCACGGATCGCGATCGGTCAATCGTCGATCCTTGACTATACTCCTTCTTTGCTGTTAGGTAGATCAATCTGCATAATTCCCACAGTCATTTCCTGTCACTCAGTCGTGTGACACCATAATTCATGCCAACGGGCCTCTCTCCGAGAGCACTCCACCGATCAAATCCATCTCGCACTTATTGCAGTAGGCGCGATCCTTACTTTCGAGTATTTTTCTTCTGCACTTCTCCACAATCCCCCTCTGCACTGGCGGTCGACATACAGCGTCGATTAACTGTACACCCACAACTCCCATGGATCCTACATCTTCCGCACCTTCTAGCTCGGAGGCTGACCACCCGATTTCGTCTTCCCCTCCACTGTCGGTTTCGACTGGTGGAAGGCATGCCATGTTGCCTTTGTCTCAAGTGGGCGCTGCATCCTTGATGGATCGCGATACTTTGACTGCGGGGATCGCGGTACTCTACGATCAACTGGATCTTCCGGACGCGGTTGTTGTAGAATACCACTATTTGAAAGAAGTATGTCGAGACCAGAAACTTCAGATCGACTTACCGCAAACGGAACCGCGATCGTACGTCAAGATCGCCCCGCGCTTGGCGACCTATGTCCAAAAGCGTTATCTCGGCATCCGGACCAATCGTCAGAACTTGATAAAGAGGTTGCGCGGGTTCCAGACGGAGCTGAAACGACACTTGGGTGAAGATCACGTGATCCGAGAATTCAAGACGGCTCTCTTTTAAAGCCGAAAGGAAAAGCAGAGGATCAGCGCATTCGTTAATCGTTCATCGCCCATCAGCAAGTGGAGACGTTGACTTTTCGCCTGGCTGCTGCTGAACAGAATTCGGATGGCGATCGCCAAGCTGAAACGGCCAAGACATCCAAGTACAAGAAACTCTTCAACAAAGTTGATAAGAAACTTGACATTGCCCGAGTGGAGTTGAAAGACATTTCAAAGACATATCAACACCGCATCCGCGCACACGAGCGCGTAGAGGCGGAACTGCAATAGCTGCGACTAGACCTCGCGGATTGGGACGCCCAGATGAATTATTTGCGCAGTCAAGCATTGGGCTGGGAACAGAAGTGTCTCTCGGCCGCTCGCGCTCGCGACGTGATCCGAGATCACCTGGCTCAATTGGCTCCTGAATCGCTCCAACTTCCTTCAAATGTCCCGTCTACGGCTTCCGCTACCCCAACACCCGGCAAGAGACCAGGTCCACGGATCCCAATCTACCGATCAAGCGTCCCCGCGCCGCGAAGATGACGCGATAAAGAACGTAATCGGTGGATACCCCTTCGGCCAATCAACTAGCGAGTCCCCACGATCCACTAGACCAGTGGTATCTGCCAAATCTTCCGGATAAGATTAAACCACCCGCGTCTTTACACGATCTTCAAGATCAGCTCGCTCTGAATAGTTCGAAGCTACTTCAGGATCTGCACGGACTCCATCAACTCAAGGCACCGCGAGTAAAACGAGATCCGCTTTCCAAACCGGAAGCAAGCGGGTCCAGAAGCTTTCAGCCAGTGATCCGCCGCTGTCCGGTACAGAGCCGTTTGAATCTTCTGAAGAAGATACTCTGACCGCCTTGTCTGGATCGCGCTACTCGTTGCGGCGTTGTGGATCGCCGAGGAAAGCTCCGTCTTCTTCTACTTCGACATCTGCCTCATTCCCATGGGATACTCCAGTTCTAAGTCTGGATCTCCCCCACCTTCGAGTGTATCCGCAACACCTGTGAAGCGTATAGTCTCGAAGGTGGGCCTATTTGGCAAAGCGTCAAGCGACCCCGACGGATCGGTCAGCATGACCAGTGACGTGCGGTATGCCAAGAATATTGTGTTTCTGCCCAATAAAGACGACCGTTTGGACCCAACCCGGGTACCCCGCGCTGATTAGTTTCCCGGATACCGCTATCGGGTACCCTGTTCCCACCACCACGTGCGCCCGTGGTCGGCCCGTCGTGTCAGCTTGACCTGCGTGGCAGATCTAGACATGAATACCTTTTTAAGCATCTTACGTGGCCGAAAGGGTACCATCTTTCCATCACCCACCGTTCCCCGATCCAACGCTGCTTCGCCTGAATCGTAGTGGATTCCACGACTGTTAACCTCGACCCAATCGTTGTCACTATACCAGCAAGAGCCTTGGAACCACTATCCGAGCCAAGTCACTCCGGTGTCTTTTCATGCGACTGGCTGGTTCGCTGAATTGGTGTCCGTGTATCGCGAATTCGAGACCCGGCATCTACAGGGTCTGTGGGAAGATACCCACACCGAATAGCTGCCAGCCGAGCAGCGCGATCGCGATCCGGATCTGGCGAAGCTTTTCCAGCAGCGCAAACAGCGGCGGTCGCGATCTGGACCCCGGTGGAAGACCGAGTTGCGTTTCA